TTAGATTCATAGAGTCATGGAGATGTACGGCACAGAAACAGACCCTTCGGTCCAACTCGTCCATGCCGACCAGATATCCTATATAAATCTAGTCCCATTTGCCAGTATTTGGCCCTCCAATGATCCATGGAAAATAACGCCAGCTTATTCAGCCTCTCCCTAAAAGCTCAAACTCTCCAACCCTGGCAACATCCTTGTAAATATTTTCTGAACCCTTTCAAGATTCACAACATCCTTCCTATAGCAGGGAGACCAGAATTGCACACAGTATTCCAAAAGTGGCCTCACCAATGTCCTGTATAGCCTTAACATGACCTCCTTTCCTGCCTTTCCCCCATAACCCTTGATTTTCCTTACTGATTAATAATCTGCCTATCTCAGCCTTGAACATACTTAATGACCCAGCCTCGACAAAAGAAGAGAAAAAAGATCCTCCTAATCTCTGTTTTTAATGTGCAAACCCTTTTTCTGAGATTATAACCTCTGGTCCTATACTCTCCCACAAGGGTAAACAACTTTTCTGCATCTATTATCCCAAGTCCCCTTAAGAATCTTGTGTTTTGATAAGGTGACACTGATACAAGATGCATGGAGAAATTTGCCAGGCCACCTTGGATAGCACCTTTCAAACCCACAGTCTGCTCATCTAGAAGAAGGGCAGCAGATACATTGGAACACCACCTCCTGTAAGTTCCCCTCCAAGCCACTCACCATCCTGACTTGGAAATATATTGCCATTCCTTCAGTGTTGCGAGATCAAAATCATGGAATGACCTCCCTAAGGGCATTGTGGGTCTATCTACAGCACATGGATTGCTACAGTTCAAGAAGACAGCTCACCACCATGTTCTGAAGAGCACCTAGGGATGGGCAATAAATGCTGATCCAGCCAGCAATGTCTACTTCCCATTAGTGAATATATTTAAAAAACTAGGCTGCACCATCTGCCATGTTCTGGATACTTTAACATCGATGAGATACTTGTCAAGGGTTGTCATTTAAGGAAATTAGACAAAAATCTGCCTCCTGAACAGATAAACTTTCATACATAACCAGATGTAACCCAGGTACATGTTGAAAAGAACCAGAGGTAACATGAGGAAATATTTTTGATGTTGGGAGGGTTTAGGATTTGGAATAGTTTGGTGAAAGCAGAGTTTTATCTGTGTTCATGAGATATGAATGTCATTGATAAGTTGCAGCATTTATTCTCCATCCCTAGAGATCCAAGAACAGCCTTTGCAAGGTAATTGTATAAATAATGGAAGAAAAGAATTTTCAGAGATATTTCTTGATTCATTCATGGGATGAGGGCGTCGCTGGCCAGGCAGCATTTATTGCCCATCCCTAATTGCCCAGAGGGCGGTTATGAGTCAACCACATCGTTGTGGGTCTGGAGTCACATGTAGGCCAGACCAGGTGAGGATGGCAGTTTCCTTCCCTAAAGGACATTCGTGAACAAGATGGGTTTTTCCAACAATTGACAATGGATTCATGGTCATCATTAGACTCTTAGTTCCAGATATTTATTGAATTCAAATTCCACCATCTGCTGTGGTGGGATTCGAACCTAGGTGCCCAAAACTTTATCTGGGTCTCTGGATTAACCGTCCAGCAATAATACCACTAAGCCATCGCATATGGAGAAGAGTTTGGAGGGGACTCTCCGTGGATTGTTTTTTAGAGGATAGACTGGAAGCTTGATGGTCCCAAATCTGTGACAAAGGTCTTTTGTTTAGGCCTTTTGTTTGTTGCTTAGAAGTTGATTCTATTTTTTTGGTCACTGGGCGAATGGGACTTAGCACGAGTTAGGATATGGGACCACAGAGGTTTGGATGAGCTAAATTTAAAGAGATTGGAAGTTGAAAGTTTAGCAAGGAAAATGTTGGAGAACTTGAGCCTAGAGGTAACAAAAATAAGACACTTTATTACAACAAAAGTGGTGAGCATAACTTATATTTATTATAGGTATCAAATTGATTCAGCAGCACTTCAAGACCTGGTAGAAGAAACAACATTAAAATTAATCTGAATCTTGCCTCAGTAGTGTGCTTGCCTCAGAGCTGGGTAGAGTTTACAGCAAATAACTAGTGTTTGGGGCTAACAGACTAACACAACACATTATGATCCCCAGAGCACAATGGAAAGATGTAACAAGCATGGGTTTAATGTTAGGTGAATGGGTCCCGCACCTTTGTCTCAATGATTGGTGCAAGATGGAGTGGTAGATTGTGAGTAGTACACATGGTGTAAATGTGGATGACACAGTGAGTAATTTCATCGATAGCTGTGAAGTTTGGAACTTGACTGGAAACATGTCTTACAACCCATAGTTAGGGCTGACAAACACACTCTACCCAGGACTTAAAAATGGAACATAAATAGTGCAACAAACAATACAAATACCTGTATATTTGAATCTATCTATCTATCTATATATATATATCTGTAATTATATTAAATCTTATATTAGCATACTGTTGATATTTTTCTCAAAGTCTTATGTCCACATTTACAATGAGGAATTTGCATGTAAACTTGTCATGCTATAATCACACTATCGCCCTGAGTGCAGGCAGTTCCACCACTGACCCAAAGCTATAATTACAGCATGACATGTTTACATAGGCATTTACCACTATCATCGTGAAGGATATGACTCTGCAATGGAAAATCTAAAGTTAATGTTTTAGCTCATGACTTTAAATCGAGGGGTAATGGAAACACCTACGCATACCTGGTCTAACTAACCCCCACCCTCTATGCCCATCTCACCCAAAGTGACGCTTAGTTTTAGCTCATAATGAGCAGCACCATAGTACATCTACTAATGATCTATTAAACCCGTCCAACAAACAGGCCCCTAATCAAAACACAACAAACTCACCAAATAGAAAGAAACATAAACAATAGCAATCTGAAATGCAGGGATATGGGCAGATCAAACTGCATCAGGGGGAGAAATGAGAAGCTAGCATTTCTGGATCCTGGCCTCCTCAGAATTAATGTCCTTAATGTTTTTGGTTTCAGGTGCTGACAGGGTGGGCAGTGCCTCTCATACAAAAGCTTGAAATAAGCAAAGGTCATTCAGCCTATCCAATACACTCCTCCACCATGCGACCTCAGTCACAGATAGCTCTCCCTCTTTCACCGCACCCACCGCCATACCAGCAGATCTCCAAATCCTCTCCCTCATCACTATCTGAATCAAACAAATCTGATATATCTCTGTAACCAACTTTCTTCTTTCTTTAAACAAGTGTCCCAGGAGCCAGTTCTGTGCTGCAGGAAGAGAGGAGGATAATTTTAAAGTCCAAGCTTGCTCAAGATGTGTTTGTTTATAACCCTCACCTTCTGAGTTCACTCTATAAGCTAACAACCTTCTCATTGGTACCTTTCCCTACGCTCTCTAATTTCAAATACACCATGATCTTTTCTCCACAATCATCCACATATCTCTTCCTTGAACCCATCCACATCCTTTCTTGTGAAGTATGATGGCCTAAACTACAGAACAAACTCCAAAAATTAATTGCATTTCCTAATCTTGTCCATGATGTGTATAATTTTAAATTGCACCTCAAGCTCAATGTACAATGTGCATGGTTGCATCTATTTATCTGGGCATTTCTTATTTTCGCACCATGCCCAGACTACCCCTTTGCAGAATGATTGCAGGAACAATTATTACTAACCTCAGTGTAACCTCTCTCTATTTCTCTTCCTCATCAGATCGGATGGCTACCAGTAATTGATCTATTTCATGGCCCACAACAATCAGAAAGATAAGCCATTCACCACAGATGATGCACAACACAAACACAACTATTGTAGCACTGAGAATCAGTGGGGAAATCGAAGGGAAGGTCCACTTTGTGGGAGATAGTGAGCGCTCTGAGCTAAGAATTCTGTTCCTCATCTCCTTGCTTCCTTCCTCTTTTTCCCAATCCTGCTTCTGTAAAAGCTTGTGCCTTACTCGAGTATGCTGCTCTCTGAGACCAAGCAAAAAATAAGGAGGGTTAACATGTTCATCAACTGTGGGATGCATCACATTTAAGGCTAATCATCTCCTGACGCAACTTCCTTACACCTATATGCTTCCCAGGAAAAACTAGGAAGGTGGATGGTTGGATCACTAGTTAGCTTTCAGCAATAGGGATCAATTTCCAACCATGTACCCCTTGCCACTTGGTATGTCAATCGAAACCAATTGTGATGCTGCTTAGTTTTACCATGACTGGGATCTGGCATCCCAGCAGAGACTCAGGTCAAAGTGGGATGCCTTGCAATCAGCTGAGTGTCTCTCCCACTTCCATCTCCAAAACCGAACACGCACACATGCATTCACACGCATGCACACACACGCACACACATCCATACAAACACACACTCGTGTACACACACGCACACACATGCATATACACACGCACACGCGCACACACACACAAACACACACACACCCAATGTCTCTTGGGCAACTCAACATGACGCTAGCCACAATTATTGACAGATGCAGGCATTCATAAGTGAAATATTGACAGATTCAGGTATCCCTAAGTGAAATATCCTGGTCCCTACCTGATAATATGGGGAACAGCAACTTAAAATACATCACAATCACAAAAAGTATGCCTAAACCGGGCCTGTTGATCATGCTTTTGCCTCTTTATGCTGCATAAAAATCATTCTCTACAACAAAGTCACATTTATGGAATTTAAAAGAAAGAAAGATAGGTCAGAATTCTCAACAAAAAAAACCTGCGTGCAATCTTGACGAGATAAATAAAACTGATTTATGCTAATGTAGAACATGATTTAAAACTGTTTCTGAGGAGATGCATTTTCCAGGACTTTTACAAGGAACCTGTTGTGCTGGTTCCAGGATTTCTGGAGAATGCAGCTCCTGCCGCAGGAGTCAATGCTGTGTTTATGCATTTTCACTTTTAATTCCAGTCAGTTTTCATCTTGCTTGAATCCATTGTCCCAAAAACCATCTCTTCTTAAAGTTGTACGATGCAGTCGGTTCCCGGGTAGTCTGGGGGATTAAGCTCGTATTTCTTCTGTAGGTCATCAGGAAGGTAACGACCAGCGAGAAAGTGGAACTTTCCGGAAAATTGTGTGGCACATTTCTTTGGTGCTGCCAAGGAAACAAGGACTTCTGGATTGATGCCCTCAGTGTTCCCCTTTTCGACATCCCAGCCTGTTTGAAAAACGAAGGTAATTTATTATTAAAGTCAGGCTTGATGTGGACTTTTTTTAAAAAATTGCCATCATTTAATGCTGATCCCTAATTGGCCCCTTAATCTGAGTGGTTTTTGAGGACCATTTCAGAGGGCAGTTAGGATGCAACCCTATTGCTGTGGTCTGAAGTCACATGTAGGGAAGACCAGGCAGTTTCTTTCCCTAAAGGACATTAGTCAACTAGATGGGTTTTTACAACAATTGACTTGGTCACATTTAGGCGAGATTTTAATTCTAGATTTTGTTTTCAATTGAGTTTAAAATTCATCATCTGCCATGGTGGGATTCGAGACCTGTCCCAGAGCACACTAAGTCACTGCCTCACATTCAGACATACAGAGTTGGAAAGCCTCTCTTTGTTCTAGTTTCATAGTTGTTGGATCACGATCCTAGAAGCTCCATACACACTATGGGAGCACCTTCTCCATTCAAACTGCAGTTTTCAAAAGCTGGATCATTACTAACTTCTCAAACTAGGTTTGAATAATGAATAAACTGGGCCCGAAACGTCAACCTTCCTGCTCCTCTGATGCTGCTTGGCCTGCTGTGTTCATCCAGCTCTACACCTTGTTATCTCAGATTCTCCAGCATCTGCTGTTCCTGCTATCTTTGAATAATGAATACCTTTCTTCCAGCCATATCCAGAGAACACATTAAAGACAAAGTGAGAGTAAGAGCAAATTACTTCCAATGCTCATATCGTACTGATAACAACAAATGCTGGAGATCACAGCGGGAAAGGCAGCATCCATGGAGAGAGAGCACGCTGACGTTTTGAGTCTAGATGACTCTTCGTCAGAGCTGAAGTGAAGTGTGGAGGGGGCAGCAATTTTTATGCCATAGTTGGGGGGGGTGCAGGTGGAGTGTAGAGTGCTGGGGGAGAAGGTCGTTGATAGTTCAGATTAAGTGATCGGAATGTGAGAATGGCAGGACAATGGTGTGTCTAACTGTCAGACTGGAAAGAGCAGACAGTCCCACTGGGGTGGGGGGGAGGGGAGAGGGGACATGGTGACAGAGAATGTAACAAGTAAAGGTAAAAGAAAGGGAAGGAACGGGAGTAGGTTCACAATTTGAAGGTGTTGAACTCAGTATTAAATCCAAAAGGTTATAAAGTGCGTATTAACATGACAAATATTCATGACAAAGTGGGTATTGACATTTTACGAAGCATTGGTGAGGCTTGGGTGTACTGTGTACAGTTTTGGACTCCTTAAATCAGGAACAACATACTTGTTTTGGAAGCAGTTCGGAGACCCATTACACTGATTTCTGGGTTAAAGAGATGTCTCAGAAGAAAAAGTTGAGAAGATTAGGCCTACACTCATTGGAGTTTTGAAGTTTGAGAAGTATCTTATTGAAATTTATAGAATTCTGAGGGGACTTGAGAGGGAAAATGCTGAGAGGGAGCATGCCGAGAGGGATCATGCTGAGAGGGATAATGCTAACGGGGAGCATGCTGAGAGGGAACAGGCTGAGAGGGAACATGCTGACAGGGAGCATGCTGTCGGGGAACATGCTGAGAGGGAGCATGCTGAGAGGGAGCATGCTGAGAGG